ACTCTCGTTCCCTGCAGCACTCCAGCTCACGCCTGAGTTACCAAAGCAACATTCAGGGATCTTCTCAGTCCCAGAGTACGATGGGCTATTCCACGTCGTCTCAGCAGAGCTCCCAGTATCACCAATCTCATCAGTCTCACAGGTACTGAGCGGGCCAACAGACTGCACTCAGAAAGGAACGGACTAAAAGCCAGAAGACTCCAGCAATATGAAGTTCATAACGATGAGAAGAACCAAAAATACAAACTATGATGCAGAATTAAAATTCATGATGACAAAAGGAAAACTTCACTCACTGAAGACTTCCTTCCCCCACCCGCCCCCCGTCCCTTTATTGCCATAAAGGAGATTCTCGTGAAGTTTTCCTTCCTCCCTGCCCTTGCATGTGCTCCATTGTGGTTACTCTAATGAACCCTTCTGATCTGAACCCAGCACTTAACTTCTTTAACCTTTGGAATTTTGAAGGATTCCTGGTGCACCTTCCTTATGCTGTAGTGATTGCCATAAATCTGTCTTTTCAATCTCTTTGATGGGGTTTTAAAGTTTTAAAATCTTGAACTCCCAGGCTTTCAAGCTTGTATATAGTTAGTTTTATACTAGGCAAGCCAGTTTAGCTATACAGGTATATTGCACCTTTTTAAAGCACTATGTTATTTTCACAGGATATTACTGTTTTGCTCATGGATGTCAAGAACAGCAAAATTTTACTGTTCCAGAGTATTTTACTATTCTGTTTTTATTAGTCTAGTTTTCAGGAGAGGTCTTAAAAATAAAAAATTTAAAAAATAAATAAAATTTAAAAAAGAAAAAGGAAAAAAGAAAAAAACCCACCCAAGTCTCTGCAGCGACAAATATGCTTCATGCTACTGGACTGAACGCCAAACAGAAGATTGCTGATATTTCTTAACTCATTCACATTGAATTCTTGAAATCACAGTGATCGTGCTCTGACTAGTTTTAAATTAAGCGTTATTTTAAATGAAACCAGGACAGTCACATAAAAAGGAGATGCTTTCAGGATCTGTTGGAACAGAAGAATGGAATGTCTTCCCAGGCTGGACACCAAAATAGTCAGGAAAATGTATTTACTGCCCTCAAGTCTCAGTAGGAATGTGGATGATGGGCTTGTTTTTCTGTTAAGCAGCTGATTAACGTATGTGAGAGTTCTATAAATTTAGCTTTCTTTCACATTCCTGAGTCAGTTTTCTAAATATAAAGGTGACAGAAATACTAAGACTTGCGAAAACAAATTCATTTAATCATTTTATGTTAGAATTAATAATTAAGAGATATTATTGTGCAGTTTGAAAAGCATGTTGAAAATTGTTCCTTTTTCATGTTTATAATGCATATTCTGTCCCCCTCACATTGCTGTGATTAACCCAGATTAGTTATACCAGATGCGCTTGATTGCACTGGAATGTTTCTTTTTCCCTAGAGCAAACATGTTTTGATTGTGCCTAAGGCCTGTAAGTGGATGGGTAGCTGGCAGAAAATCCCCAGTAAATAAGAGTTCAGAAGCATAATCAGAGGATTATTGTCCAACTTCTGCAACCACAGTTATTCGGAGAGACACAACATGTAATTTGGGACAGCTTCATTTTTCCTTCAGCCTTCAGAAATAAGGCTGGCTCTTGGTGCAGAAAACCTGGAAAAATGCATTTAGAAAGCTACTAGCAATGTAACATCAGCAAGCTTCTACAGCTGGCGTCCAGAGAAGAGGTGAAGTGAGAAGAGTTTATATGTAAGCAGTTAACGTTACAGGCTTTTATACCACAGTGTGTGGACACTCTTCTGTCCTGTGTCCGTACAAAAAAATTGTATATACCCATACACATTCACACTGAAGTTGTGATCAGACCTAGCAAGATGAGTAAATCTGTTTGCTCTGAGGAGAATGCTTTTCATCACAGCTAGAGACATACATGTTTCTGCTGGATTTGATCTCCCAATCACCTTTAGTGCCCCCTTCCTCCTCAAACACGTGTTGTTTTCATACCTTCTGTGAGCAGTCGGCTTGCTTTGGCCATATCTACCATCATGTGGTTTTGACAACACCCAGCTTCTCTGGAAAAGCAACTAAAACCTGCTTTTGTCATCAAATGGGTAAGAAGGTGGTGAAAATGAAATGAAGCAATTTGAAGGAAAGAATTTTTCTGGGGAAAAATAATCTCCCAAAGGATACTTTCAATGTGTAACCCTTGAAATGCTACATATTATACCTACCCTAGTAGCCCGTTTGAAAGAACAGATTTTTATTGTTCCTTTATTTTGTTTCAGTGAGCCTGGGGTTACATTCTTTCCGTAAGTGGAATGTCTCACCTCTTACTGATGTTATGATGAGATACCTTTGAGCTAATGGATATTTGGCCAATGCCACAAAGGAACATTTATATTTTGTGACTTGAATGTCACAGTTCTGGAAATTAACCTTTGGCAGAGTAATTTTTGTCCCCTCCCGTTCTTTTCACCTTTCTGTTCTCTCAAAATCCTTTTGTCTTTTCCATTATAGTTATCTAGCACTTCTTCTCCCTACTGTGACCTGCAGCTGATCATCAAAATTCATATAACGTCAGGAGTTATTAAGGTGGGCTCTTGTGCCAATAAGGCAAAATCATGGTGTAGATTAATCTGTATGTAGAGTGTGAAACTTCACAGCAACGTAAGGTGCTTTAATTGAGTGAGCTTCCAGCTTCTAGAGCAACTGCCGTGACCTCTCTCTAAGCTGAACTGGCGTTTCTGCCTTGGTTGGGTCTGATAGACGACCACACGCAGCTCCTCTCTAGCTTTTGTGTGCACGCGCGAAGCCGAGCTGACTTCCTCCGTTGCCTTCAAACTCACAACTGGGAGGAGAGCAAATAAAAGCAAAAGCATTTGCTGCGAAACGTAGGCTGTGCACACTCTTCTGGTTCCTTCCTGGTGGTGAAATAATTTGCTTTTTCTTGGGAGCTTGACATGTGTTGCCGGGGTGGGTGGCAGTCATAGTGGAAGAAGCCTTGCTTTCCAGGGGTCATCCCGTGAGGTAAAAACGCTCCGCTTTCAGAAGTGAATTGTGCGCTGTGTCCTGGGGAAGCCAGGACCATGTCATTTTTATGTTATTTTTTTGGCCTGTGCAGTTTCATTAGTACTCATAGCTCTGTCTCTGCCCGTAACTTTTACACCCTCACCAAAGTGTTTCACACCGGTACCAAGAGAGGCAGGTGACACCGGCAGAGCTGCCTTCTCCGTCCTGGTCGCTTGGTGGGAGAGCGGGCCACCGGGTACAGCCCTTCCCGTCGTGGCTCAGAGGAAACAAACGCGCGGGGAATGAATGGGATGAGCAGCCTGGTCCGCATTGGTGAAGTTTATGTAGCACAAACTGCACAATGAAGGAAGAATATAGGGAAAGCTGCGAGTCCTGCACTGTATCTGTGACACTGTATCT